TTTTTTCTTCATAACAATCCAGATTGTTAAGAAAAATACTTACTTCAAACAATTTGAATGCTTAAAACATTATCACTTTTTGTTTCTGAAATGAAGGGTAAGACATTGACTATCAGGAAGCGTGGTTTCCTGTGTTTGTGAGACTTAGAGAAGCTCTGCTGAGATTCTGGTTGTTTTTCAGACTGAATTCAGTCAGAATCCTTTCAGTGCTACAATGCAAAGGGCCTTGGCAACCCAGTGCACTCTGCTGGTCCACTTCACAGAGGATTGAAACTGGGGTCCAGAAAGCATGAGTGAATTGCTTCCTGCCACAGTGTGCCCAGGACGAGAAGCAGGCACTCTCAGTCTCCAGAAAGCTCTCAACTTCTCAGGGTATACTGGGTATTTCTACATTATTAGGAAACTCCCTGCTTTTTCTCAAGACATTGCAGATTGTTTTGAAATTGGACATATGCTAAATCAGAAGTTCTACTGAATTTACATGTGAAGACATAGATTAAGTGCCAGGTTAGATCAAATGACTCACTGGATATTTCTAATCTTTTTGTGAGTCTCTTCGATAACACTTTTTCCTTCAGCATGTAAAATAACCATGGGAAATAGAAATGCAAACACCCAACTCATTTGTGCATTTATGTGAGGTTGTATGTGTCTACTAACCCCAGTTATTTTCAGCAGCTAAGTATAACCACTTAACTTTATCCTCCAGATTGCAAATCTTATTTGTAGTGTCCCTTCACATTTTTATAAACCTAAATTTTGGTAATCGTTAAAAAATTGATGAGCAGGTGTTGGGAAAGCAGGAATTTAAATTTGATAAATTTTAAGTCATTAAATTCAGAAGTCTTCTTTTTGGATGAAACTATCTGGGTTTGCTGTCAGAATAACCATGGCATATGCCCAACTCTTTGCAGTGAGGGTAGACATGCTGTGTAGTGACTCCCTTGTGAGATAGCCTATTATTGGCACAGTTGTTTGAAAGGTACTTGTAGGCTTTAGGATTAAACACCACACAATACTAACCAGTTAAAACATTGATTAGAAAAAGTGAGAGATTATATACTTAGAATGTCATCTGTGAAATAGTATTAAAGGATCAGCATCTGATTACCTGACTGAGTGCTTACGTGGGAAGAAACAATTACTAAAGATATTAAAGAAATTAAAGATTAATAATCCCACATTCAGTATTCCGTGGAATTCTGAAGTCAGTGAAGAGTGAGTTATTGGATGATCGAATCATATTATCATTGGAAAGACTTGTTATTTCTTGTCTTGATTTTAATCAAACATTTCTGTTTGAATTAGATTAACGAGGATATTCCTGAAACAAAGATAAAGTTCACGTCTGTAGAGAATCCTGAGAGTGACAGCCAGTTTTCAAATATCTCCTATTCATGTCAAGTGAGCTCAAAAGTCCCTTATGAGCTACAAAAAGGGCAAGCCCTTATCACCTTTGAAAAAGAAGAAGGTAAGGCTAATATTCAAAAATTTGACCGGTTACCTTTGGAAAGCAATGGGACTTTCAAAGAGTTTTCATGGGTGTTCGGCCATTGCTTTACAATTTTTACATAAACCATTTCATCTCATCCTCATAGTGACATCTGGAGGTAGGTATGATTATCCCCGTTTTACAGATGAGAAAACTGACTCTGAGACATTAGGTGACTTGAATATGATCACTCGTTCAGAACATGACACCTCTGGGACTTAAGCCCAGGTGTTGTGATATCCAATACCAGCATCCTTCTACTGCACCTGTTAGCTGCGAATGATAATACTAGTGATAATGTTTCAATGAAGCAGAACTCTACACAGTTCTGAGAGAGTTCTCACAAACGTTATCTCATTTTATACTCACATGACTCCATGAAAATAATAGGAGAGGGGAAATACTGTTTTCACTTTACAGCTGAGAAAACAGATTCTCAGGTGGTTAAGTGATTTACTTAAAGGCACAGGACCTGTGAATGGGAAGAGCCACAAAGGCAGAGATTTGAGGTGGGACCTGATGTTTGCTAAGTCCGCCATGGTATGGGACCCTTTTGAGAGCTGGGGGCACCTTAATGAGGAGAATCTGGCTTTGAGTGCCAGCTTTGCCCGTATCTAGAAGTGTGATTTGGGTTGGGTTCTTTATAAATCTCAGATTTTTATGATCGGCTTTGTGACAATACCTACCTCAGGGGGTTGCTTTGAGTATTAAATGAGAAATACTGATGAAATACTTAGCACAGTGTCTGATACATAATAAACATTTAATAAGTGTTAGCTGTCGTTATTGCTACATGTTAGGAATTTCTCAGATAAGGAAACAGCAGCTAAGATAAGGAAATTGCTCAAGGTCCATACAGGTAATAGGGGAGAGTATAACTCAGTGGTAGAGCACATGCTTAGCATGCACAAGGTCCTGGGTTCAATCCCCAGTACCTCTGTTAAAAAATAAATAAAAATAAATGACTCTAATTACCTCCCCCCAACAAAAAGAAACAGAAGCCTTCAGAATGCGTTAAAAACAGAATCTAATCATACAGGTAATAAATTGCAGAGCTGAGAGCCAATCCCCAAGGACCCTTGTACTTTCTACTGGACCAACATTCCTTGAGCAGTCCACCATCTGGGTCTTTGTTTTCATACTTGCAAAGTTATAGGTAGGATCAGATCTTCACAAGGTCTTCACAAGCCCTTTCAGTGCTCGGATGCTGGTTTGTAACCTGGTTTGTTACTATAGCCTGAAAATAAGTGTTAAAGAGAAAGGCATTCTGGCAGGTCAGTATATGCATATACTGTTTGCTCTCCCTGGGTCCACCCCTGCAGCTGAGGGTGGAGGGGGAGACCAAGACATGGTGGCAGTTGGTAGTGGTAACTGAGATATAACTGAAAGAAATGAGGATTTGGGAAGCAGGGGATTCTGTACAGGAATTACCTGAGGATGCTGGGAATAGGATTTTCTTTAGAAACAGCCGCATCACTGCTTCCATCCTTGATATGGCTCTAAGGTTCTGCTCTCCTGGGACAACTTTTACACAATTAAAAGTGTTGGCTTTTGATCGTCTGAGTCACAAAAGTTGAAACATAGGTGGTTCCTCTCAGCTGCGTCAGATCACCAGATGTTGAGGTTTGAGGGGTGGAGGAGATTGGGAGGAAATGATCATCATCTAAGTATTACTTAGTTGATATTCTCTATTATTGTTGCTTGTTGTCATTAACGAAAAAAAAAACCTATAATTCAAATTGTAGAATCATATTGTGGTGCAGTGAGTCTGAATTTCCACACGACAACGCCCTGTTTTATAGCCCTGTTTCTTGCTTCCTCTAGCTGTGCTATCTGGTTATCAGAAGCACATGTAAGGTTTATAAGACCAGGAGTGGGCATCTCTTGTCTTCATGACAAATTAGAGTAAGCAGCTCCAAGTATCAGTGTTATAAACTCTCATGTCATGCAATTAAAAATAAACACATATCCACACGCGTTTTAATCTGACACAGAGTTGCTGTTGGATTTCTAATGGTTTTTGGCATAATTATATTACTTAGCCTCTCTATTTGCATGGATAAATTAGGTTTGATAGTTTTATGATCAGTGTATCAAGGCTATCGGCTTTTTAATGAACGATCTCAAGAGCATTTTAGTGAAAGTAGAATTCTTCATTAAATATCACCAAAAAAGAAGACTCACTCTGATTTTTCAAGCCTATGTAGTGTTTAAAATGTAATCCTTGGGAAAGACTGAGACAAGAACAAATGTTTATTTCTGTGGTGCTTATAACATATTAAGGAGGGGTGACAAATGATAAATAAGATTAATTGTCAGAATGATACTGACTTACAAAAGTTTTCCCAGTTTACTCAACATGGAAGAAATTTCTGGCTGTGTTTGAATGTACTAAGAGAATTCTCTGCTAATTCTGTCAGCAGTGGAAAGGAAGGGTATGTGGCTGTACTGAAGTAACATATGAATTTCTGAAGAATTATCAAGCTTATCTCCTAAGAGATGAATCTAGAACTTGATAAGAATTTCTACACTGTAATTTTTGCTGATGTATTTCAACATTAATATTATCCTACTGTGGTGCCAAGACTGTTATCACTTAGAAATCCTTAGAAAAATTTAAAGTTAGATCCTTTAAAATTAAAGAAAATTGAAAATATTCAGGATAATTTGTCATTAAACCTAACGTGTGAAAATGTATTGAAGTATTGGAAATTCATACTTCCCAAATTATTTTTCAGTTGCCCAAAATGTGATCAGAAGGGGGGGACATTATGTGCAGCTACAGGATGTAAACGTGAAGATGATGGCCAAACCGGTCACATTAAACTCAGGAGTCAGATTCCAGGTAACATGGTGGTTAAAGCATTTTAGAATTCTGTTGAACATGGACAATTTTCTCATCCATATTTCTGAACATGAAACGATTTCCCAGGTTCATGTAGAAGTGTCTAAAATGAAGGTCAACGTTACTGAAATTCCTGATATATTGCCTGAAAGTCAGATGAGAGACAAGCTAGAACTGAGTTTTTGTAAGTCCCGCAACGGAGGCGGCGAAGTGGAGAGCGTGGAGTACGATAAGCAGTCCGGAAGTGCCGTCATCACATTTGTGGAGAGCGGAGGTACACACGCGCTGAGAAAGCTAAACGGTGCTCTGCCATTTCAGTTATGTCCTGCCACGTCTGAAAGTATCCTTTTCTACTTCTTTTATTTGGAATTTATTAGACAACATAGTAACAGGAGATTTTATTTAACCTCATAAAATGTAGTAAAATAAAATAAGAGTCCTGAAAATGATTTTCCAGAATGCTGCCAAGTATGATACTACAAATAAAAAGTATCTGCATCTTAGTGCATTCTTATTACATGCCAGGCATGGGGCCGGATATTTGATACATGTATCTTCTCTGATCCTAGCACAGCTGTGGATGTAGGTGTTATACTCATTTTATTGATGAGGAGCCTAAGGTGTAGGCAAGGCATGTAACTTACCCAAGATCACACAGTGAGGGTGTGGTACAGAAATTTAAAAATATTTAGAAAACTGTCTTCCGTCTCATTTGTTATGACTAACAAGGGTCTCTTAGGTGGAAGGAAACGATTCCAGGAAGACAAGGGGGTAAGTAGAAGGAACAGCTGTTCCCTTTTTAGGTAGAAATGGACTTTCACCAAATCATCCTAGGGAGGTTTGCATTCTTAGGATTAAAATGGAAGACTCTTCAGCTGCTTTTGTTACTATGTTCAACGGATTTTCGATGTAAAAATCCCTTGCTCTAGTTATTCTAGTCTTAGGGCTTCTCCTGGGTTTGCACATGTGATAGAAATCCAACTATATAATTAAAAAACATCGACTGTGGGAGGATAGTATAAGTTAGTGGTAGAGTGTGTGCTTAGCATGCGCGAGGTCCTGGGTTCAATCCCCAGTACCTCTGTTAAAAAATAAATAATAAATAAATAAATAAACTGAATCCTCCCACCACCTCCCTCCCACAAAAAACCCAGCAACAAAAAACATTGATTAGGTTTTTTCATAATGAAGTAATACATGCTTTTAAAGAAAATTGAAATAATAGAGAACAACATTAATGTAATAAAAATTAAGACATTTCCTTAAATTTCCAAACTTCCCTTTCTTATACTATGTGGTTAGTTGTGGTTAGTTAAATGTCTTTCCAGATCTTTCTGGAATTTCTGTATAGTATGGTAATTCTATGTTTAATGTTTTGAGGAACTGCCATACTGTTTCCCACATTGACTACCCCATTATGTTCCTCCCAGCAATGTACCAGGGTTCCAATTTCTCCACATCCTCACCAGCAAGGGTCTGTACTCTTAACCACTGTACCATATTATCAATTCAAGGTGGACTGGTGAGAGGAAAAAAACAACAAAGTGATTGGACATTCTTAAGAGCTGTTTCTGTTAAACTTTATGCAATCTTGACACATTGCCTTTTTCTCCTCTAGGAGAAAAATGCTTTTAAAAATAAATCTGATTATTTTTTGTGTTGGAGGAAACTGATAAAGTTTTATTATTTGCCTTCATGTTTTCTAGATGACATTCAACAGCCCCCCACCTTTGATTAACATCATTATATTGGTTTACAGAATATCATATATTAGTTTTAGGACAATCAAGTAATTATATATATATATGTGTGTGTGTGTGTATATATATATAAAATAGTAATATAGTAATTTGCTCTATATATGTGTATACATATATTGTAATATATGTTACATATGTAGTATATAGTATATGTAGAATGTGTGTGTACATGTATATTGTTATGTATATCATATACATAGTGTGTGTGTATATATATATACACACACACATACACAGGGAAAGAGTATATCCTCTCTCTTGTAGTTTTATGTATATTTCTTGAGAGATTGGGACACACTCAGTTTTGTTAGGATGGCTGGGCTACTTTTTGCAGATGGTTGTTGCATTTTATGTAGTTCAAGGTAGGTCTATCTGAGGACACTGCAGCCAGCCGTGCATTAATTGACTGAAAGTTCAAGACAGATGGAGCTATTTTAATCTCATTTTTGTTTGGTCTTATATTTTTCAAAATTATGTACTATGAAGTCTTTAAAGTGGACCATAGAGTTTCTTAGAAATCAATCACTCAAGTCACTTTTTACTGTAATAGTGTTGTGTCTGAAGGAAGTTTTAATTTTGGTTAAAAATGTTTATGATATAAAAAAGAATTTTTTTTATAATTTACTTCTAGTTGCTGACAAGATTTTGAAAATGAAAGACTATCCTCTTTATATAAATCAAAACTGCCATAGAGTTATTGTTTCTCCATACACAGAAACACACTTGAAAAAGTTTCAGGTAATGTCATCTCTTTTCTTTCATTTTGGGAACTTACTGTCCGACCTTACCCAACAAATAATAAAAAGTTGTGAGTCTGTTACTGTTTCAATCTTCTTTGTGAGGGATATCAAAATAGTGTCTTCATATCTGCTTGATGCAGAATGAATTTGTCTCTTTAAAGACTATTTTAATGTCAAACTGTACCTTATTATTTATAACACAATTTTTGAAAAACCTGAAATTACTCAGATTAACGCACAATATTTTTATATGTGGAGACATAGCTACATTTTTCTCATATGTCTACTATTATGGGGCATTAAAAGCAATTCTTCCTGCTCATTTTCTCTGAGATCGTTATCTTTACTCCAAATCTGCTCCTTTTTTTCCTGTTCCTATTCAGGTATTAAACGGCATCACTATCTACCTAGTCCATGGTCCTGAAAGCTACAACTCATGCCAGCTCTTGGTTTGCTTCACCTCCAGCATTCAGTCACTTGACCTTGTCACTTCCACCCTGAGTCCCTCTCTAATTGGTCTCTCTGGCAGTAGAATTGCCCTCCTTTCCTCTATTTGTCACAGTGCCACCAGAGTCATCTTTCTGAAACTCACATTCAACTCTGATAATTCTCTTGCTTGAAATATCTTCCCAAGGCCTCTTGTCTCTCTTAAGATAATGTCCAAAATATTAAGCAGAGCTTATAAATGTAAAGTTTTGCCATTTAAGCTCTTAGAAAATTTTCTATTTGTCTTTTTTATTTTCCTTCTTAGGTATTTTCAGGAGTAGCTAAGAGGACGGTGCTGCTGACAGGAATGGAAGACCTTCAGAAGACAGATGAAGAAACTGTAGGGGATTTCATTAACATTCACTTTCAGCGGGAGAAGAATGGAGGTGGAGAAGTAGAGGTGGTCACATGTTCTCTGGGGCAATCTCACATAGCATACTTTGAAGAATAGACTCATGGAATCATATGAAAATTAGAGCTTCTGCACCCAAATCACTGTCAGTGCTTGACAAAAATGAATATCCTTTTCCGTAAAAAAAATTAATTCTTTGGTGTTCAATTATATTTAGATACAAAATATATTTCTGTTTTTGAATTCTTCCTTGTTTCCAGCTGTGCTGCATATCTGCAAACATAAGTGCACTGTTATTAAAAACATTTTTGTTCTTAAATTATGTGGGTTGGTTCCACGTCCGCTGAAATCAACCGTAAGTTATCCAGTTGTCCGCCTGCCATGTTGGCTCAGCCTGTTGTGGTCTTGTGGGCCAATTCTGTTTCACACCCAGATTCATCAATAAGCAGACTTGACTCTTAAACAGTTCCCAAGAGTAATGTTATGTTTAGCAGTTTGTGATTTACATAGACCTTCCTTACTTTTTAAAAGACTTGAAGAGCAATACTCTTCCACTTTACCCAGCATTTCGTTCCACAGCTCCAAAGCTATTTCTCAGAGCCAACTGTGATCTTTTTCTTGAACTTTCTTTCACTGAGAATGCCAAGTGTCCCCTTATTACTTTCAAGACATCTCCTCTCCGACCTGAATTTGTAAAGACCAGAATTTTCTTTTACACTTATAATGGAAAGAATCAATTTAAGGGACTGAAAACCTTGGAATTAAGAGAGAGAAATGCAAAGCTAGGGGCTGACCGCACGTTGTGCCAGATGCTGGAGAATGAATACCTGAAGATCAAAACACTGTGCCTGCCCCTCAGGGCCTTAAAATTTAGTCAGAGAGAAATGGAGTTTATTAGCATCCCACTGTTTTTAAATTGCAGAAACTGTAACGGTAGAATTCAAGATTCCTATCAGAGAAGGTAAAATTCTCTTTGGTAAAGAATGTTTGGACCGCTTTTATCCTAATATGGTCTGTTTCATAAGAGCCAACAGCAAAATTAAATTCATATTAAAATGCTGGCAGAAATGAAGTGCTTTTAGAAAAAAGTCTAAACCTAAACCTATCCAGTGCTGCCTGCCATCTAAAATAAACAAAGAGAAAAGCTGAAAAAAAAAAAGGCTTGGTTTTGCTTTTGAAATTTTATTTTTAGGTATTCAAGTTGTTATGTTAATATCAAAAGTACTTATTACTCTCACATTTCTCTTTGGAATAAGAAATGGTGCCTAAAAACTGGGCAATTTATAATAAATCTTCATATTCACCATTTAAGGAAAAAAAAACTCTCATTGTGTCAGTTGTTCTTTGGAAATAATAAAATTATTTCAAGTTCCCCAATATATTAAGAAGAACAATTTAAAGACCTTATTTAATTTCAATTGGTACAGTCTCACTAGCACAGAGGGTGTCATATTTAGTCCGTGGCTGACTGCCAATCAGAAATAACTCTTTCCTGATATTTAGGACAAGGTTGGAAACAGTCACTTGTTTTGGGCAGTAAAATAGATAATTTCATTCGATTTTAAATTTTCATGATGGTTTTGATGAATGTTACTTATCCTAGAAAATTATACTTTTCCCTTGGTTTCCTTTCACCATTCCACCTATGTGATCTGACTAAAACTCAGAAATCAAGCATTGGCTCTCCTGCTTATTTCCAGTTTTAGAGATTTCACGGGAGGAAATGTGTCTTTGAAAATTTACCAGAAGATACTGTATTGACTATTTAACATCTTGCATATTACATTAGGAAGCCTTCAGTTGTGTGTCCAGCATGAAATAGCTCCAATTATTAATGTGTTTACGCTGTTGTTTACAATGATGTATCAATTTCTGGTGTACAGCACAATACTTCAGTCATATAGGAATATACATATATTTGTTTTCATATTCTTTTTCACCATAAGTTACTACAAGATACTGAATTCCCTGTGCTATACAGTATAAACTTGTTTCTCTATTTTATGTGTAGTAGTTAATATCTGCAAATCTTGAACTCCCTTATCCCCAATTTGCATTTCTTTAACAACTAATGATGTTGAGCATATTTTCATGTGCATATTATCCATTCAAGAATCTGCTTTGATAAAATGTCTATGCAATTTTTGTCCATTTTTAAATTGGGTTATCTTCTTATTTTTGAGTTGTAAGAGTTCTTTGTGTACTCTGAATACAAATCCCTATCAGATGTGTGATTTGCAAATATTTCCATGGTGTTCTTTTAATCTAGTGGTTTGGATATATTAGTCAGGGTCTGCTAGGTGATATTGCTGAAAAACATTCAGGAGCTTCAAAGTTTTATTTCTCATTCATGTAATTCTGTTGTGGATCCAGGCAACTCCCTCGTACAGCTGTGTTCTGTGTGCTGGCTCAGTGTCGCATGTTCCCTTCAATACATGCTTTTATGAGCACTAAGGCAGAGAGTACGTTGGAGACACTTGTGCTGGCAAGGAAATGCTTCCATCCACATATGAGACATGTCAGTTCTCACATTTCTTTGGCTGAATGAATCCTATGACTATGCCTAACATCAAAGAGAGAAGGGCAAGCCCGCCATGTGCCTGAATGAGAACAAAGACTGTTGGAGGGCAGTACTAATGTCTGAGAAAGGGGTGAATGCTATTCAGATGCAATAATAGGGTGACAGAATAACAGCTTGGGGGGGACAAATTTAGACTGGGTGATCAGAAACAGTGTCTTGGAAGAGGGCTCAAGGCTCCAAGGTTAAGTGAACTATCAAGGAGGAATCATCCAGGCCTAGAAGCCAGTCCATGAAAAGCCCCCTTAGTGAGGATGTAAATTTTATTCAAAGTGTAATGGGGAAACAATGAAGTGTTCAAACAGGGATCAAACCTGATTTGCGTGAAAGAAACATCTTGGGTGTGGTATCCAGAATGAATTGAAGGGGAACAAGGCAGGATGCGGACTTGATCTGGATGGTGGAGATAAAGTGGAGACAGTGTACGGTTTATAGGCTGTACTAACAGAGCAAAGGGAAAGAGGAATAAAGGAAGATGAGTCTTGAGTTTAAGCGTCTGGGTGGGTGGTAGTGCTACTATTAACTTGAGGGGGAAGAAAGAGAGGATAGTCCTGTTAAGCTTTACAGGCTTATCAGACATTCAAGTGGACATTTAAGTGTAGGAACCTGAAAATCAAATATAAATCTGGGAATTACATACAGATTCACCTCATTCTGTTTTAAAATCTTCATAGCCTTGGGCCTTGTAGACGTGCATCGGCCATATAATAAATAGTTCTATTCATAGTTTAACTGGGTGGATACTAGTTTTTTAAAAAATGTACTGTATTACATGCAACACACAATTAAAACTTACTTACGGTATCTTAATTCTACTTGGGCACTTAAGTTCAGTTCTGAAAGTGGCGTTACTAAGTCTAAGGATACATGTATTTTTACCTCTTTTTGTACTTTACATTATTGAGAGGGGCCCAAATCCTTAGAAATGTTTGCACCTATCTACGCTTGCAGCAACATTGACGCTTCCTTACACTCTGGCTAACACTGGGTGTTATCACACTTAAAATTTTTCTCCAATCTAATTGTGGAAGAAAGAGATCCTGTTATGATTTCAATTTATATTTCTTAGGAGTGGAATTAAACTTCTGCGTATTAGCCAGCCATTTGGCTTTCTTACTCAGTCACTTTTTGACTGGCGCTATGTATGTAGATTCCCTGTGTCCCCGTAGACGCTAAGCTTAGGAGTCGCCCACGGTGTGCGGGCTCTTTTGGTACGGGACGTGCGCCTTTCATCCTGTGCCCTGCGCACCGGGCCATTGGGCTGGGCTGGGCTGGGCAGGTGGCAAGAGAAGAAGCAAGTGTGGCGTGGTGAGACGACCAGCGGGGCGATTACGAGGGCGCAGGAAGGCGGGCCCAGAGTCCACTGCGCACAGGACCCACGCAGCCCCGGGAGAATCCCCACAGTCCCGCCGGGCAGCCCCGCCGGCCTCTCTCCAGGGAGGTTTCCAAAGTTGCGAAACTACCGAGGGCGTTCTGGCAGCAGCCGTCCTGGGGCCGCGTTCCCACCCCGAGGCCCCGAGGCCTCAGAACTGCGAGGTCGGATTTGGGGGCCGCCCTCTTCTCGCGTCGTTTTCGAACGAGCGGGAACGGAAAATCGAAACCAAAACCTGCCCGCCGGTCACCGCCCCGCCGCCCGCGCTCCGCTAGCTCAGGGCCCCGCCGGCCGCCGAAGGCGCGTCTCTCCTCCGCCATGGCAAGTTGATTCTGCTTTGGGTTTTGCGGGGCGGAGTGGTCCCCACCCCGTCGCCACGGTCCCCCAGAAGGCCAGTGAACCAGGCGGGGCGGGCTAGAGTGCGGGGTGACCCCGGGCTGCGCGGGAGGGATCCCGGAGGCAAACCCCGCCCTGTCTTCCTGCACCTGCCCGGGTGGCAGTTTCGCGCTCCCG